GATATAATATAAAATAATGGGAATAAAAGTGATAGGAATAGCAGGAGTGGTAGCGGGGATAGCGCAGGGGGAAAGGGATAAATAATATAAAATAGGATATAATATAAAATAATGGGAATAAAAGTGATAGGAATAGCAGGAGTGGTAGCGGGGATAGCGCAGGGGGAAAGGGATAAATAATATAAAATATGATATAATATAAAATAATGGGAATAAAAGTGATAGGAATAGGGGGAGTGATAGTGGGGATAGCAGGGATAAGGAGATTAAAAGTTATAGGAATAGTGGTGATAATAATAGCAGGAATAAAGAGAATAAAAGGGGAATAAAAGTGGTGGGAATAGTGGGAATGATAGCGGGAATAATGGGAATAAAAAAGGGATCTTGGAAATGATAGCAATAATAATGGTAATAATGGTAGTAAAAAAGAGGCGTTGTCGCTAAAAAAATGGGGATTTTGTCATAAAAAATGGGGTTTTTATCCCTAAAAAATGGGGGTTTTATCCCTAAAAAAATGGGGGTGTTATCCTTAAAAGAAGGGGGTTATCCCTAAAAAATGGGGGTTTTATCCCTAAAAAAAATGGGGGTTTTATTCCTAAAAATGGGGGTTTTATCCCTAAAAAATGGGGGTTTTATCCCTGAAAAATGGGGGGTTTATCCCTAAAAAAAATGGGGATTTAGCCCTAAAAAAATGGGGGGGGGTATCCTTGAAAAAGTGGGGATTTTATCCCTAAAAATGGGGATTTAGCCCTAAAAAATGGAGGGGGGGGGGGGTTATCCCTAAAAAAGAAGGGCTGGGGTGGAGGAAAAGGATGAGGAAAAATGGGAATTTTATCCCTAAAAATCGCGGGATAAAAGGGGCCGGAGCTGCCTCCGCAGCGGGCCCGCCGAGCCCGCGCGGATTTGGAGCGAGCGGATTCATTAAGAGATTAATTAACGCGTTAATTAACGGCGGGAGAGGGGGAGGGGCGGGAGCTGCTGGGGGAGGGGCCCCAGGGCCATGGGAATTCTGGGGTTGGGGGTTCTATTAAAAAAAATTGATATTTTTATCCCCAAAAATGGGGGTTTGTCCCCCAAAATTGGGATTTAATCCCCAAAAATGTGGGTTTATCCCCAAAAATTGGGATTTAATCCCAAAAAATTTGGGTTTGTGCTCAAAAATTGGGATTTAATCCCCTAAAATGGGGGTTTATCCCCAAAAATTGGGATGAAGACACCGAAAATGAGATGGAAACCCCAAAATAAAGGATCAGGGGATAAAAATGGAGATGGGAACTCCAAAAGCGGGATAGAAATCCCCCCAGAAATGGGATGAAAACACCAAAAAGGGATAGAAATCCCAAAAAAATGGGATGGAAACCCTAAAAAGCGAAGGAAACTTCAAAATAAAGGATTAAAATGGGGGTGGAAACCCCAAAAATGGGATGAAAACCCCCAAAATGGGATGAAAACCCCCAAAATGGGATGAAAACCCCCAAAATGGGATCAAAACCCCCAAAAATGGGATCAAAACCCCCAAAATGGAATGAAAATCCGAAAAATGGGATGAAAACCCCCCAAAATTGGATGGAAAACCCCCAAAATGGGATGAAACCCCCCCCCAAAAAAAGAATTTAAAAAAGGGTGGAGCCCCCCGGGGTCGCCTCCGGTCACGGATTTGGGATTTGGGATTTGGGATTTGGGGAAATCGGATTAACGGGACGGTGGGGGAGGGGCGGGAGGGGTGGGGGAGGGGTCCCCAAGGCCGGGGGGGGTTTTGGGGTTTTGATTTTGGGGGTCCCGGGGTTGCGGGATTTGATTTTTGGGGTCCCGGGGTTTTGGGGTTTTGATTTTTGGGGGTTTTGGGGATTTGGGGTTTTGAATTTGGGGGTCCCGGGGATTTGGGGTTTTGATTTTGGGGAGTCCCGGGGATTTGGGGAGGGGGTCCTGGAGTTGCGGGATTTGATTCTGGGGGTCCCGGGGTTTTGGGGTTTTGAATTTGGGGGTCCCGGGGATTTGGGGTTTTGATTTTGGGGGGTCCCGGGGCTGTAGGGTCGCAGTTTTGGGCTCCCCAGACTTGGAGAGGTCCCGATTTTAGGGGGTCCCCAAATCTGGAGCGGTCCCGATTTTGGGGGTCCCGATTTTAGGGGGGGGTCCCTAAACCTGGGGGGGGCCCCCGCCCCCCCCCCCCCCCCGCTAGGGGGCGCCAACAGCGCACGGCTCCTTTGGCCCCGCCCCTTATTTGCATAGCCCCGCCTCATCCCACATCACAGTCCCGCCCACTCCCGCCGTCCTTCGCCTCACCCAATCAGCTGCCGCCAGCAGCGCTGCCAACCAATAGAAACGCGCCGTTCATACAAACCACGCCCTCTGTGGGCGTGGCCTCGGCCTCGGCGGCACCGGGAGCGCCCCGGGAGCCCCGGAGCGGCCCCGGAGCCCGCGGGGGGAACCGGGGCGGGCCCGGAGCCATCCCCGGAGCCCGCGGGGGGAACCCGAGGCTCTCTGACTCCACTTCCGGTAACAACGCCACGGTTGCTTAGCAACGCGACGCTCTCTGACCCCACTTCCGGTAAGGGTCCCGTGGTTGCTTAGCAACGCGACGCTCTCTGACCCCACTTCCGGTAAGGGTCCCGTGGTTGCTTAGCAACGTGACGCTCTCTGACCCCACTTCCGGTAACTGTCCGCGGTTGCTTAGCAATGCGACGCGCTCTGACCCAACTTTCGGTAACTGTCCGCGGTTGCTTAGCAACGTGACGCTCTCTGACCCCACTTCCGGTAACTGTCCGCGGTTGCTTAGCAATGCGACGCTCTCTGACCCCACTTCCGGTAACTGCCCGTGGCTGCTTAGCAACGCGCCGTGCCGTGACGTCACTTCCCCTTCTCCTTCCCCCTCGGCGCCGCCATCATGGCGGCCGTGTCGGTGTTCCCGTCCCCAGCCGAGCTCGGCGCGGCCCTGGCGCGCTCGGTGGCGGAGGCGGCGGCCGAGGCGGTGGCGAGCGGCGGCCGCTTCACGCTGGGGCTGTCCGGGGGCTCGCTGGTGGCGCTGCTGGCGCGGGAGCTGCCGGCGGCGCTGAGGGCGGCGCCCGGCGCGGAGCCCTCGCGGTGGCTGCTGGCGTTCTGCGACGAGCGCCTGGTGCCGCCCGAGCACCCCGACAGCACCGGCGGCGCCTACCGGGTGAGCGGGCACGGGGACGGCTCCTCCCGGTTCCCCCCAGGCTGGCCCAGTTCCCTCCCAGTCCCTCCCAGTCTGGCCCAGTTCCCCCAGTCCCTCCCAGTCCTTCCCAGTCTGGCCCAGTTCCCCCCAGTTCCTCCCAGGCTGGCCCAGTTCCCTCCCAGTTCCCCCCAGTCTGGCCCAGTTCCCCCCAGTTCCTCCCAGTCCTTCCCAGTCTGGCCCAGGTTTCCCAGGCTGGCCCAGTTCCCCCCTCAGTTCCTCCCAGTCCCGCCCAGTGCTCCCAGTTCCCTCCCAGTTTGGCCCAGTTCTTCCCAGTTCCCCCCAGTTCCTCCCAGTCTGGCACAGTTTTTCCCAGTTTGGCCCAGTTCCTCCCAGTTCCCTCCCAGTTCCCCCCAGTTCCCTCCCAGTCTCTCCTGACTCCCCTCAAGTCCTCCCAGGGCTCCCAGTTCCTCCCAGTTTGGCCCAGTTTGGCCCAGGTTTCCCAGTCTGGCCCAGTTCCCCCCAGTCCCTGCTAATGCCCCCCAGTTCCCCCCAGTTCCTCCCAGTTCCCCCCAGATCCCTCCCAGTCTCTCGTGAATCCCCTCAGCTCCTCCCAGTCCCCTCCCAGTGCTCCCAGTATGGCTCTGTGTCCGTTCCCAGTTCTCCCAGTATGGCTCTGTGTCCATTCCCAGTGCTCCCAGTATGACTCTGTGTCCATTCCCAGTGCTCCCAGTATGACTCTGTGTCCATTCCCAGTGCTCCCAGTATGACTCTGTGTCCGTTCCCAGTTCTCCCAGTATGGCTCTGTGTCCATTCCCAGTGCTCCCAGTATGACTCTGTGTCCGTTCCCAGTGCTCCCAGTATGGCTGTGTCCATTCCCAGTTCTCCCAGTATGACTCTGTGTCCATTCCCAGTGCTCCCAGTATGACAGTTTAACCCTTTCCAGTCCCAGCTGCTGTCCCAGTCTGTTCCCAGTGCTCCCAGTATGGCTCTGTGTCCATTCCCAGTGCTCCCAGTATGACAGTTTAACCCTTTCCAGTCCCAGCTGCTGTCCCAGTTTGCCCCCCCCAGCCCCCGTGTGCCATCCCAGTGCTCCCAGTATGGCTGTGTCCATTCCCAGTGCTCCCAGTATGGCTGTGTCCATTCCCAGTGCTCCCAGTATGACTCTGTGTCCATTCCCAGTGCTCCCAGTATGGCTCTGTGTCCATTCCCAGTGCTCCCAGTATGACAGTTTAACCCTTTCCAGTCCCAGCTGCTGTCCCAGTCTGTTCCCAGTGCTCCCAGTATGACTCTGTGTCCGTTCCCAGTGCTCCCAGTATGGCTCTGTGTCCATTCCCAGTGCTCCCAGTATGACTGTGTGTCCATTCCCAGTCCCAGCTGCTGTCCCAGTTTGCCCCCCCCGGCCCCCGCGTGCCATCCCAGTGCTCCCAGTATGACTGTGTGTCCATTCCCAGTCCCAGCTGCTGTCCCAGTTTGCCCCCCCCGGCCCCCGCGTGCTCTGGGTCAGCTCCGGGCTGGGCCCGGCCGAGGCCGCCCGGGACTACGAGGAGCAGCTGAGGAGGGTACGGGAACTGGGAGCACTGGGAGCACTGGGAGCACTGGGAATGGGACTGGGAGGGAATGGGAGCGACTGGGAGCACTGGGAGGGACTGGGAATGGGACTGGGAGGGACTGGGAATGGGACTGGGGAACTGGGAGCACTGGGAGGGACTGGGAGGGACTAGGAATGGGACTGGGAGGGACTGGGAGAGAACTGGGAGCACTGGGATGAACTGGGAATGGGACTGGGAATGGGATTGGGAATGGGACTGGGGAACTGGGAGGGACTGGGAGCACTGGGAGGAGTTGGAATGGGACTGGGGGGACTGGGAGGGACTGGGAGGGACTGGGGGAACTGGAAGTAGTGGGAGGAACTGGGAATGGGACTGGGAATGGGACTGGGGAAACTGGTAATGGGACTGGGAGGGACTGGGAATGAGGACTGGAGGAAATGGGAGGGACTGGGAATGGGACTAGGGGAACTGGGAATACTCAGAGGGACTGGGAGCACTGGGAATGGGACTGGGGGGGAACTGGGAGGGACTGGGGGAACTGGGAGCAACTGGGATGAACTGGGAATGGGACTGGGAAGGGAACTGGGAGCACTGGGAGGGACTGGGAATGGGACTGGGGAAACTGGGAATGGGACTGGGAAGGACTGGGAGGGAACTGGGATCAGTCAATGAGCTGAACTGGTCCGAACTGGTCCATAGTGATCGGTATTGATCCAAACTGCTCCGTACTGGTCCGAACCGGTCCATAGCGATCAATATCGATCCAAACTGGTCCATACTGGTCCGAACTGGTCCGTACTGGTTTGCAGGAGTTCCCGGGCGAGGCCACGCCCCGCTTTGACCTGCTGCTGCTGGGGGTGGGGCCGGACGGGCACACCTGCTCGCTGTTCCCGGGCCACGCCCTGCTCCAGGTGACCTCCGGAATTCCGGGAATTGCGGGAATTTGGGAATTCTCACCACTGGGGGGAATTTCCCCCATTTTTTTCTCCCACGTTTCTTTCAGGTTTTCCCTTATTTTTCCTCATTTTCCCCATTATTTTCCTAATTTTTCCAATTATTTTCCCATTATTTTCCAGATTTTTTCTATTAATTTCCCCATTTTTCCTATTTTTTCCCATTCTTTTCCTCATTTTTTCCCATTATTTTCCCCATTTTTCCAATTATTTTCCCATTCTTTTCCTCATTTTTTCCCATTATTTTCCCCATTTTTCGTATTATTTTCCCACTATTTTCCTAAATTTTTCCTATTATTTGCCCATTATTTTCCTCATTTTTTTCCCATTATTTTCCCATTATTTTCCTCATTTTCCCCATTATTTACCCCATTTCTCCCATATTTTTTTCTGTTACTTTCCCGTTATTTTCCCCCGTGATTTCCCCCGGGATTTTTCCCGATTTCCTGTTTTTTTGCCCCGTTTCCAGGAGCAGAATTCCCTGATTTCCTTCCTGGAGGACTCTCCCAGGGCTTGCTCCTTTCCCACATTTTCCCCTTCATTTTTCCCAATTTTTGTTCTACTTTTCCATTATTTTTCCCATTTATTTTTCCCATTTTTCCCATTATTTTTCCCATTAATTTCCCTGGGATTTTTTCCAATTTCCTCTTATTTTCCCCTGAATTTTCCCCTTTTTTTCCCATTATTTCCCCCATTTTTCCCTGGATTTTTCCCGTTATTTTCCCTGGATTTTTCCCGTTATTTTCCCCTGTGATTTCCCCCGGGATTTTTCCCGATTTCCCGGTTTTTTGCCCCGTTTCCAGGAGCAGAATTCCCTGTTTTCCTTCCTGGAGGACTCTCCCACTGTTTGCTCCTTTCCCCGAATTTCCCATTATTTTTCCTATTATTTTTCCTATTTTTTTTCCCATTTTCCCCATTATTTTTTCCCATTATTTCCCCAATTATTCCCCTTATTTTCCCCATTATTTCCCCATTTTTTGTTCTATTTTCCCCATTTTCCCCCCGTTTTTTCCCCCATTTTTCCCGTTATTTTCCCCCGGGATTTTTCCCGATTTCCCGGTTTTTTGCCCCGTTTCCAGGAGCAGAATTCCCTGATTTCCTTCCTGGAGGACTCTCCCAAGCCGCCGCCCCGGCGGGTGACGATGACGCTGCCGCTGCTCAACGCGGCCCGGGCCCTGCTCGTGGTGGCCACCGGCGCCTCCAAAGCCCCCGTGATCAAGGTTTGGGGCGAAATTCCCAATTTTTGGTTAAATCCCAACTTTTTGGGCTCAAATCCCAGATTTTTGGGGGTTAAATCCTGATATTTTGGGGTTAATTCCTGATATTTTGGGGTTCAATCCCATTTCTCAACACCCAGCCCCTGCTCATGGTGGCCACCGGCGCCTCCAAGGCCCCCGTGCTCAAGGTTTGGGGTGAAATTCCCAATTTTTGGTTAAATCCCTAATTTTTGGGCTAAAATCCTGGATTTTTGGGGGTTAAATACAGATTTTTTTGGGTTAAATTCTGGGATTTTGGGGTTCAATCCCATTTCTCAATGCCCGGGCCCTGCTGGTGGTGGCCACCGGCGCCTCCAAGGCCCCCGTGATCAAGGTTTGGGGTGAAATTCCCAATTTTTGGTTAAATCACAAATTTTTGGGATTCATTGTGGGATTTTGGGGTTAAAATCCAGGATTTTGGGGCTGTACTCCCCCTTTTTGTGGTTAAACTCCCCGTTTTTGGGGTTAAACTCCCTGTTTTTGGGTTTCAGTGTGGAATTTTGGGGTTCTCTCTGTGATTTTGGGGTTAAACTCCCTGTTTTGGGGATTTTCTCCGGGATTTTGGGGTTCTCTCTGTGATTTTGGGGTTAAACTCCCTGTTTTGGGGATTTTCTCCAGGATTTTGGGGTTCACTCTGGGATTTTGGGGTTAAACTCCCTGTTTTGGGGATTTTCTCCGGGATTTTGGGGTTCACTCTGGGATTTTGGGATTCTCTCCAGGATTTTGGGATTCTCTCTGGGATTTTGGGGTTCACTCCGGGATTTTGGGGTTCTCTCTGGGATTTTGGGGTTCTCTCCGGGATTTTGGGGTTCACTCAGGGATTTTGTGGTTCAACTCCCCATTTTTGAGGTTAAACTCTCGATTTTTGGGGTTCAACTCCCCGCTTTTGGGATTTTCTCTGGATTTTGGGGTACACCCTGAGATTTTGGGGTTCACCCCAGGATTTTGGGATTCTCTCCAGGATTTTGGGGTTCAGCCCGGGATTTTGGGGTTAAACTCCCCAATTTTGGGGTTCACTCCGGGAATTTGGGATTCTCTCTGGGATTTTGGGGTTAAACTCCCCAATTTTGGGGTTCACTCCGGGATTTTGGGGTTCACCCCGGGATTTTGGGGTTAAACTCCCCAATTTTGGGGTTTACCCCAGGATTTTGGGGTTCACCCCGGGATTTTGGGGTTAAACTCCCCAATTTTGGGGTTCACTCCAGGATTTTGGGGTTCACCCCGGGATTTTGGGGTTAAACTCCCCGATTTTGGGGTTCACCCCGGGATTTTGGGGTTCTCTCCAGGACTTTGGGGTTAAACTCCCCGATTTTGGGGTTCACCCCGGGATTTTGGGGTTAAACTCCCCAATTTTGGGGTTCACCCCGGGATTTTGGGGTTCAACTCCCCGATTTTGGGGTTCACTCCGGGATTTTGGGGTTCAACTCCCCGATTTTGGGGTTCACCCCGGGCTTTTGGGGTGAAACTCCCCGATTTTGGGATTCTATCCAGGATTTTGGGGTTTACCCCAGGATTTTGGGGTTCACCCCGGGATTTTGGGGTTAAACTCCCCGATTTTGGGGCTCACCCCGGGATTTTGGGGTTCAACTCCCCGATTTTGGGGCTCACCCCGGGATTTTGGGGCTCACCCCGGGATTTTGGGGCTCACCCCGGGATTTTGGGGTTAAACTCCCCGATTTTGGGGCTCACCCCGGGATTTTGGGGTTCTCTCTGGGATTTTGGGGCTCAACCCGGGATTTTGGGGTTCTCTCTGGGATTTTGGCGTTCTCTCCGGGATTTTGGGGTTAAACTCCCCAGTTTTGGGGTTCACTCCGGGATTTTGGGATTCTCTCCGGGATTTTGGGGTTCACTCCGGGATTTTGGGGTTCAACTCCCCGATTTTGGGGTTCACCCTGGGATTTTGGGGTTCAACTCCCCGATTTTGGGGCTCACCCCGGGATTTTGGGGTTCAACTCCCCGATTTTGGGGTTCACCCCGGGATTTTGGGATTCTCTCCCCGGTTTTGGGGCTCTCCCCGGGATTTTGGGGCTCAGGGCCGTTTCCTGTCTCCCGCAGCGCATTTTGGAGGAGCCGCGGGAGGAGGCGCCGTCGCTGCCGGCCGCTCGGCTCCGGCCGCGCTCGGGGCGGCTCCGCTGGCTCCTGGACCGGGAGGCGGCCGAGGAGCTGCGCCTGCCCCGGGAGGAGTGTCCCTGAAACGGGAATTCCATGGAAAAGTGTCCCTGGAAATGGGGAATTCCATGGGAAATGGGAAAAGTGGCCCGAAAAATGGGTAAATCACCTGGAAATGGAGAAATTCCATGCGAAAATGTCCCCAAAATGGAGAAATTCCATGGAGAAATGTCCCTAAAATGGAAAAATGCCACAGGAAAATGTCCCTAAAATGGAGAAATTCCATGGAGAATTGTCCCTAAAATGAGAAATTCCATGGAAAAATGTCACGAAAAATGGGTAAATCACCTGGAAATGGAGAAATTCCACGGGAAAATGTCCC